CCCCAAAACCCCAAAACCCCAAAACCCCAAGTTTCCGCATCTACAACACAATGAAATTAAGTGTGAATTAAAAAAACAAACAATCAATTAAAAATGAAAATAAATACTAGTAATTGCATGATTGGAGGAAGTGATAATGGCTCTCCTTCCCCAAAGCTTTACTTTAGATTTAATTAGTTGTTACCTTAAAGTCATAAGAATCAAAATTTGAAGATCGACGATCTGCTTGTAGCGAATAAATTTGTTTCAACTTATGAGCAGGAAGATCAGCAGTCAATTTTCGGTGTGAACTAGCCAACCAGTTTAAAACAAAACAGAATTGACTTTTAATCAGTCCTCAGAAAAAATTACAATCTCACTCAGATACTTAAAAAGCATAGTTCTACACAAAATGCTGAAAGAGGATTTAAAAGAACACGGATGCAAATATAGACATGTCTTCCTTCGATCATCTCAGCTAGTATGTCATCATATTAGTAGCATGAAGCTTCATTGACAAGCATCCACAAAGAATAAACTCTTCATTACAATAAAAGTAAAAATTCCATTAGAAATAAAAGCCAAATTCCTAAGTCCTTGTTCAATAACCAGCAAGGTTTAAAGGATAGATTCAGGTAATACTACTATGACAATGATAACATGAATCAGCTATCCTTGGAACTTACCTAGGCATCTATTAGTTTATAGCCACTTATATAAAATCAAAATCAAGATCCAAATCCCAAAAAATAGCTGAGACGGAGTGTTGATTCCAAAAAGAAAATAGCTAGAAAGGAGGAGTTGTAAGTATCACCAGCATCTAAACTTAAGGATAAAGATCTATAACTTCTTAAGCCTTTACTTTATGAGAATCTTCAGCTTGCCTAGCCAGCTTACTCTAGGTTTAGCAATTACATCAAAGGCTAAAATGACATTTCTAAATTAGAAAAATCTCAAAACCCGACTAGAGAGGTTTAGCTTTTAAATTCAACTTATAATAGTGCGAATTATAGACAAAAGTATAAATTAAGATAGCAATCCTTGATATTAAATCAATAGCCCTCTGACTTTAACAACACTATTAATTCATTATCGATTTCAAATTCTGGATTCAATGATTAATTAGTCTAACTCCAGAAAAAGGGTAGTCTTGACAGAACCACTATCAAGGTTTTAAAGAATGAAAATAGACTTTCGCCTGATACTATGATGTCTTACAAGCCACTCTACTCTAAATAAGGTGTCAGATTTAAACCTGCAGCAAGAAAAGAGAGTCTCGATCCAAATAGTACTATCAAGATTCCAGAGAGGATAGTGCTTAACTCTAACTTTAACTTTGAGGATCTAAATTCAACTGCAAGATTAAATTCCTAGCTTAGAATAGTCAACAGATCTAAACTCAACTTTTCAGCCCAGGATCATCACTAAATGAAACTTAGGCAAACTATATACTGAGTTAATAGATTTGAGAGTGGTCATTTGATTATAAGAATTTCATTTGATGCCTACTTATTTATAAATTTTATAATTATAAAATATTGTACTTAAACAAGTTAATCTTTAAATCTTGCTTAGTAATATTATAACTTTAAATTTAATGGTCAGATTATATCTCAAAAAGCGATTCACTAGAAAGAACATGTCAGAGCAAGTCATGGAATCGTATTAGGACTTGTTTGCTGACATCTAGTGCATGAACCGCACGAAAATTGTGCAGTAATATCTAACATATGTCAATGACGGAAAGCTATTCTAAATTAATTAGACTGAAACTACTCCTAAGGGAACTAAATACAATTGGGCTGTAGATTTCTTCAGAACTTACAGCGACTGTATTCTAACCACAAATAAATATATGAGTAATAATCTATTTGATGTTTCTCGCACATTTACCAAGCATAAAGTAATTAACACTAATCATTTATGATGTTATTCTATAGTTTGATTAAAAGGTATACTTCAATGATTAGAAAACAAAGCCTATTGGAATAATGATGAAGAATATGCAATTAAATTTTTATCAGACAGGAAGCTATCTCTATAAGGAAAAGAACTTTAAAAAAATTATCTTGACTAAGCAGTAGAACTTGGAGAGATATTTAGAGTACCAAAGCCAGTAGCTTTAGATAGGCTAGGACTAATTTGTCTCGGGGTTGAGAGATTAGCATGGAATTCATTTCAATGGACTTAAGGAGATAAACTTTGGAGAATCTGTTAATTGTCTCAGAGAGAAGTATAATTATGAAATGATAGTCAGTGAATGCGGTTAGAGTGCAACTAAAGATTATTTTGATGAATAGTTCATATAGTAAAATCCTATTGATACAATTGTATTCACTCTATATCTTGGAAATGTAAGACTGCATTCCACACTATTGATTATTTATATTATAGCTTCAAGCAAGTGATATAGGACCTCCCATTTCTTAGATAGAGTAGATTAAAAAATATTACTATTTGGCACTCTAGACTAAATCCAATGAAGAACTTAACGCAGCATGGTCATTTACAGTATGGAAAAGAAAATCTTAGAAGGATTTAGAGAGGCAGGAGGAATAGAAAGCTATTAAAAACAAAGATTAACTACTAGAGTACTTGGATAAAGAGAAATAAGCATTGATACTGAAGAAACAATAAAGAACTTAAGATGCTCAGGCTGAGAAAAATCAGTAATATGGAAGTAATAGTCCTATCTTTATGAAGAAAAAATATAAGTTCTTGGGCGATAGGGAATTCCAAACTAAAAAGATAAAGGAATGAGATACTTGCGAATGGAATATTAGTTACTTAAGTATGGATTTCGTACTTTTCAAAGTTTGATTTGTTAACTTTTTGCTTAATTAAGAGTTATTATTTATTGTAAAATGGTAAAGTTAATTTAATAAAAGAATTTCACCAAAGTCATGTAAACTAGTCTTATGTCCAAAGCAGAATAAATTTTTGGAGATCTGAGTTTGCTCGACTCTACAAAAGTCATGCATTCTCATGCAGTAGTCTTGAAAGATTCAAAACTGAATTAAATAGTATTTGGAGCTCCAGGCGCACCCTGTTGCAGCTTAGATCTGTATTTCTTCAATCTACTCAGAATAAGAGCACAGTGCATGATTACTTCTGGGAAAATAGTCAGAAATGATCCTTATGCCTTTAATACTGACTTTCACCTTAAGAAAAATGGAGTAGGAACAATCTATCTTTTTATTAAACTTTACTATATAGTTAGATGAAGATGATTTTTTCAACTACTTAGATGAGCAGCACTAGTAAATGAGTACTAAGCCTTTGGCCATCATCACCAGAACATTGAAAACAAACTTTTTTGAAGATGCTATAGTCTTAAAAGATCTTAGATTCCTAAAGCTTGTAATAACTGAAGAGCGCATAGCCTAAGAATATCTCAAGAGTCAGGAATAGGAATGGAAAATTAGCCAAGATTTAGTGAAGAGGAGACTTAGAGAAGACTATAACATTTAACTTACCGGGATTTAAGATTTTAATTTCACAAAAGCGGTAGAATTTATCAGCTAAGATTAAGAGTTGCAACCTATTCTCTCTGAACTTGGGGCTGCTACCTTCAGAACTTAATACATCAACAACCATTCTACCAATCCAGTTGATTTACTTTATTTAGGAATATACAATGGCCAGGCAGACGATAGTCAAATCGGATTGGAACTATCAACTTTAGATCAGATCATTTCATAATATGACTTGCAGAAGTAAAGTAAATTATATCCCTAGGAGGATGGGAGAGGAAAATGGCTTTTGACTATATGGACTAAAAGGTAGACAGAACTGCATTCTTAGGATACCATATAGGAGATCAAGGATAAACTTACATAGCAATTTGAATGTAATTGATATGTCTAAGGCATTTGTCGATTATAAAACAATTTTAATATCATGAAATAATTCTGTCAATTTTATTAATTTTGATAAGTGTCTTATTTTTAGCTTTCCATTTTGAAAATATTATTAACCTTGGGGTTTTGGGGTTTTGGGGTTTTGGGG